ACAGCCGCTCTGTTTGCAAAGCAGCGACGGAGCCGCTGGGGCCAGGGAGGCGGGGCGGTCCACGCAGCTCTGGGCGCCCCCAAGCCCAGGTCGGTCCCTGCAGCCTGGGACCCCACACCCGCCGCCCTGGGCCCATGGAGAACACGGGGGATGTGAGCCTTTCTCCCCGGCCGGTCCAGGCGCTGCCCCTTCATGCCCTGAGCACCCGCCTCCGGGATGCCCACAGGCACCATGGAAACCTCCCGTCAGGGGAGCCTCCCCCCCCCCCCCCCGACTCCAATGGAGTTTCCCGGGGCCAAGGCACCCCCCAGGGAGCCATCCTGAGGAGGGGCCGCGGTGGAGCCCCGGCCCGGTGGTCTGAAAGGAGGGGAGGGTCCTGCTGAATTCAGTTATTCCCACTGCTGTGTGCAGAGCCGTCCACCAGGGCCAGAGGGGGAGGAGGGGAGGGAAGGAAGAGGCCGCGCGAACCCAGGATTTGGCTTTTCCCAAGGCCCGGGGACACCCCACGGCCGGCGTCCTCCTTGACCAGGACGCCCCCTTCCCTGCGGGGACCTCAGGGCTGTCCCCAAGATGAGAGAGTTCCCTCTGGCCCCTCGGACCCATGGAGGGGCCGCCTCGCCGTGGCCCAGGCCCCTGCTGTGGGTCTGGCTCGGAGGGAAACCCTGCAGATGCGAAGGAGCCCAGCTGCCGGCCCTCCCGGAGTCAGGGCTTCGGGGGAACCCAGGCCAGACGCTTGGATTTCCCCTGGAGACGGAGCAAACAGAACCCCGGGCAGAAGGCTGCTCGGAGCCCCCCGCCCCGCCCCGCCCCCCGCCTCCCCCTGCAGTTACCTGTTATTAATAAAGCAGCGCCCACGTGTGCCCAGCCCTTGACAAACATCAAACCCATTTTACAAGCACCCGTGGGAGGCCACCCTGGGCTCCCCCCACCCCGGCGGCAGGGGCTGGGCGCCCAGCTGCACCCTGCCAACTGGCCTGCCGGCCCCGCCCCCTCCACCCGTGTCCCAGCTCCCTGGGTCCCGATGCCTCAGGGACCCGCTGGACACAATGGCCACTCACCCCTGTGTCTCATCAAGGCTCACAGGCTCCTCGCCCCACGAGACGTGTTGGGTGGGGGCGACTCGGGGGGCACCTGTGTCCCAGGAAGTTCCCGAGCAGCCCCACCTGCACACGCTGGAGGCCAGGTCGTCCCCACGCCCATCCACCCGGCCGGAAGCAACAGGCAGACCTCCCCCCGTCCCCAAACCAGGTCCCAGCCCCGGGGCTGCTCCCCGGCCTGGCCCAGGCTCGGGATGCAGAGCGGTACTCACGCGGCCGCTCTCGCTGTCTGTCCGCCCTCTCTCCTCCGCGACAGTTGAAAGGCACAGAGGATGCGATTACGCGATTGCCATTTATGCAGACGGAGCGTCCGCCTCCCGAAGCCAATCAGAGTCACGCTGCTCTGCTCATTCACAGGCAGCATCTCCCGCCGCCGCCCGCCCCCGGGGCCTGGCCAGAGAGGGCTGGGCAGGACCAGGGGACCACGGAGCCTGAGGGGCCAGGGGCCAGGGCCGAGGGAAAGGGGTCCCGTGTCCCCAGTCCCTGAGCGAGCCCAGCCCCCGTCCTGTCCAGGGCGCCAGGGCCAGGCAGCCGGGAGCACGTGCTCTGTGACAGGCGGGGCCAGGCCTCTCTCCTCCCCCGGGGGCGACGGGGACCCCCGACAGGAGGGACGGAGGCTTAATGTACCCAGCTCCTTCTGCTCTGTTCTGGTCAGAGAGAAGCAGAGGCAGGAGCGGGTTCGAGCCCAGGCTCATCTGATTCACAGCCTGTTCTTCCACCCGGAAGCGACCAGCAGCTCTTCACGCAGCTGTGGGCTCGCTCCCCCACCTCCCGCAGACTGGGGGGCAGGACAGGTGCTTCCCTGTGAGGGGCACAGAGCCCCGTGGGCCCGGAGAGGGGCTGGGGGCCACTCAGGCGGGAGGTGCAGGTGGGTTCTGCTGCTCGCACACACACACATCACACACACATACATGTACACAGACACACATGCATACACACAGCATGCAGACATACACACCAAACACACCCACAGCATGCTGACACTACACCCTCAGCACATGCATGCACACACACAGCATGCAGGCACCACACCCACATGCATGTACACACCATGCAGACATGCATGCACATACGTACACACAGCACCCAGACACCACACACACCGTACATACATGCACACACAGCATGCAGGCACCACACCCACATGCATGTACACACCATGCAGACACACATGCACGTACATACACAGAGCATGCAGACATCACACACACAGCACATACATGCACATACACAGCATGCAGGCACCACACACAACCACAGCACCCGCATGCAGGCATGTGCACACACTCCCCACACGTGTGCACACACTCTCAGGCCTGTGGCTGTCAGGAGCCAGGGGCTCCGCCCACAGAGCCAGGGGCCTGGTCTGAGGAAGCAGCATGCCCTGGAGCCCGTGCCCTCTGGGCAGAGACCTGCAGGCCTGAGCTGGCCAGGGGCGGGGCTGCTCCTTAGCAGGTAGGCGGCCGGCAGGGCAGCTGGCGTGGGCACAGCCGCCGGAGGGAGGGGCTGGCAGGGCCGAGGGGCAGGGGCACAGCCAGCGGGAGGACGCTCTGCCCCGCCCTGCGAGATGGGCCCCTGCAGGGGAGAGGCAGGCTGGCGCCCCCCTGGCTGTGCAGGGGCCACAGGCCGGTGGCCTGGAGGGGGCGCCGGGGCAGGTGGCCGTGTGCCAGGGCTGGGCAGGGCGCTGGGCCCTTTGATCCTGCAGGGCGGGGCTCTCCCAGGTCGGCTGGCACAGGCCCTGGTGACCCTGGGTGACCCGTGGAGGCCACGCAGGAGGGCACAGGTGGGTGAGGGGCTGGCCCCAGCGCGGACCTCCGTGAGAAGAGGCTCATCATCCCTTTCAGTCCCTGTGCCGGGACGGGCCTTCTGGAAGGTTCCACACAGGCGCCTCTGCCCCTCCCCAGTGCCTCACATGTAGATAACATCCTCCCTTTATCTAACGGACAGAAACAGAGGCCCAGAGAGGTCAGGGCACTTGCCCAAGGTCCGCCTGCCCTTGTGTGTGGCCGGGCCCACCACAGGGTCCCATGCCGGTGGCAGGCAGACCTCGGGAGAACAAACAGAAGAGAGAACCCACAGCTGCCAGCTGCGCCCAGTGCTGCAGGGCACGGACGAGGCGCAGCCGAGCGGGCGGGGGCCCCGGGCTAGGGCCTGGGAAGCTGTGTGCGGGGCACCAGCGTGGGGAGGGTGGGCATGAAAGTCACTCCAGCAGAGCTCCGAGAGCAGATGGGGTCAGGGCGGCGAGTGGAGGTCTGAGGTTTATACACGAGGGGGAAGCACCCCAAGGTGGAGCGGGTGGAGACGGCAGGCCCTCGGCCAGAATCCGTCCTCGCTGCCCGAGGGGTGACTGTGGGCCAGCGGCAGGGCCACCCGCAGTGCGGATGACGGACAGGACTCGAGGGAGGACAGGGCAGGAGGGCTGGACCTGGCCAAAGACCTGCTGGGCTTGCAGGAGAAACTTATGAAAGCCTGGGAGCCTGGCCAGTGTGGCTCAGTGGTGAGCGTCAAGCTACAACCCAGGAGGTCAGGGTTCGATTCCCGGTCAGGGCACAGGCCCGGGTTATAGTCTCGACCCCCAGTGTGGGGCCTGCAGGAGGCAGCCGATCCGGGATTCTCTCTCATCATTGATGTTTCTCTCTCTCCCTCTCCCTTCCTCTCTGAAATCAACAAAAATATATTTTTAAAAAAATCCCAACACAGACATTTGACTAAAATAAACGGAAACGCGAGCGTCTAGGAAGGGCCGGCTGCTCCGGAGGAGGAAGAGGTCATGCCTCTCACCCCTCGAGACCGAGGTCGCTGCGAAAGGGTGAGGTTCCTGCCGCGAGGATGCACACCCGGCCGAGGGAACCGAAGAGAGGGCCCCCCCCCCCCCCCAGGAAGGGAACACGAGCTGATGTGGAACAGCAGGCGCATCGCAGAAGGACGGCCTAGTGCAGCGGTTCTCAACCTGTGGGTCTCGACCCCTTTGGCGGTCGAACGACCCTTTCACAGGGTTCGCCTAAGACCATCCTGCATATCAGACATTTACATGACGATTCATAACAGTAGCAACATTACAGTTATGAAGCAGCAACGACAATAATTTTATGGTTGGGTCACAACATGAGGAACTGTATTTAAAGGGCCAGAAGGTTGAGAACCGCTGGCCTAGTGCGTGGTGTGGGGCCCGCTGGCCCGCAGGTGGGGAAATGAGAGCCGGGAAGCCCTCCCTCAGGGGGTGGGATCCTTAGCGAGAGGCCGACTTCTCAGGATGACAGGAGTCATGTGATGATGCTGGGGGCCGAGATCTCTCCTACAGCCCTCATCAGCCACCGCAAACGCCCCCCAACGGGCCGCAGGGCTGTTAGGAGTCTCTCCTTCCAACGACAGGCGAGGGCCGAGCTGCTGATTGGGGGCGAGGCCGCAGAAATACCGGCATCGCCGGAAACGGGGGAACACGGGAGAAGGTGGCCCTGTGGTTCGTACCAAAGGCGAGGGGAGTCGTAACGTTTACTCATCGTCTCCCACGAGCTGGATGTTGTCCAGACGCTGTGATTTAGTCCTCAGACAACTACTAACACCCACTTTCCACTGAGCCAAACCGGTTAGGGCAACACCCGCTGCTTCCCCGAGGGAGAGACAGGCCCGGGGACCCAGGTACAGGCCGCGTGGGGGGAAGAGGTAGAGAGGAGCAGAGGCTGGGCTGGTCCCGCCTGTGCCATCACGCCCGGCACCCACCGGTCCGACGGGCACCACCAGGGACGGCCCCTGCCGGCCCCCAGCGCGTGGAGCAGTCAGCAGCCCCGCCCGCGGCGGAATTCACCCTTAAGCAGGCGCTCTGTGCTGTGGAGCGGGGGTTAAGGCACAGGTGCTGCCCTTTACCGCGGCGACCACCCGACTAGGACCAACAGGGAGACTCACCGGCCGGAGTCCTGTCCCTGCGGCGTCTGCCCCCTCGGGAGAGCGGGCTGGGGGGCTGGGGGGCGGCCAGCAGCCTGGGTCGGAGCTCACGCAGGTCTGCCCAGAGCTGCGCACCCACACGGCCTGGGCCCTGGTTTTCAGCCTCATCAGCTGGTTAAACATTAACCTCTGGTGGTGATAAAGCCTCGCCCCCGCCAACTGCGTGCCCATCTCCGGAGCGGGCAGCGCCGAGCCAGGGCCTCAGCTCGGGAACAGTGTGCGGACCTCAGGTCCCTGCTTCGTAGAGACTTGAGACTTTTCGTGACCCAAACAGACCCCGTGAGGAACCCTCAGGAGGTCCTGTCGATCCTACTCCTCACCCCGCAGCCTCGGGCTGGGAGGGTCCAGCTGTGCGCGCACGTGGGGCTGGGGTGCTTTCAAACGCAGCCCGTCTCCCACCGCTGAGCAGACACCCCCCTAAGGAACCGGGTGCGAGGGGGCGGCACGAGGGGCGGATCCCCAGCCCGAGGGGGTGCTGCACGGCCGGTCCTGCGGGACCCTTGTCGTCGGCTGCCTGCAGCTCTGCATTTAGATTCACCCGCGCCCTCCAGGGCGGCCACAGGGTTAATCCCGCCTCCCGGGGCCCCCAGGTGGGAGCCCCCATGTGGGCAGCTCCGGTGGTGGGTGACGTGACCCTTGAGCGCCACGCCCCGAAGCGTCTGAGCTGCAGAGGCATCGGCTGGCAGCTGCAGCCTCGAGCGAAGACGGGGCAGCTGACCCGCCTGCCCCCAGGGGACCACTTCTCATCCCTGGCGTTTGGCCTTTTGGGTTTGGGTTCTGGTGGCCTGGGTCCCAGGTGACCCTCAAGGGGAGAAATGCAAGGTCAGGTCCGACCAAAGCCACCCGACCCTGCAGGATGCCGCCTGCAGCTCATCGCAGGCCCTCGCCCCCATCCTCCCTGAAAGTCTCCCTGTGGCACAGGGGAAGCCGTGGTAAGAACTCAGGGGGCCCTGGGTGGGTTGCTCGGTGGTTAGAGTGCTGGCCCTCGGACAGAAGGGTTGCGTGTTCGATTCCTGATCAAGGGCAAGGGCCTCAGTTTCAGGTTCCATCCCTGGCCCTGGTCAGGGCGCGTGCAGGAGGCAACCAATCAATCGCCGGGTCTCTCTCACATCGAAAGTTCTCTCTCTCTCTTCCCCTCCTCCCTCCCTTCCATTCTCTCTAAAAATGAATAAAAATCAATGGAAAAAGCAGCCTCAGGTGAGGATTAGAAAAGAGAAGAACTCAGATGCGTGGTTTCCTGGGGCACGAGCAATGCCCTGTTCTCTCCAGGTCTGACTGTGACCCTGGAGGCTGGGTCAGCCACGGTCGGCCCAGTGCCTGCCAGAGGCTGAGCTCAGACTGTGCTGTGCCCGGCGGTTGGGGCTGTGGGTCCACCTGTGCGGCAGGTTAAGGAAGAGCTGACAGGCAGGCTGTCTGTGTCGAGCCCCGGGCATTTCGCACGCCTCGGCGGGGAGGGCGCTCCTCTGGACGGCCGGCCGTTCCTACCTCAGGGGCACCCTGGCTCCTCCCACCGGTCAGGGGCCTCCTTGTTTTGGCCACTTAAAGCTGAGGGCGTTTTTGTAGCCGTCTCGAGGCCACGGGGATGTCCGCTCTTTATTTCTTAGACTCAGGCCCTTGGTTTAGGAGTCTCTTCGCCCGACTTTCCACCTGCCCACCCCCTCAGTGATGCGCATTCTTCTTCCATGTTACCGTCTCGGTCAACTACCGCGGACTTTCCCCAGAACAGGTGAAGGTTAGCGCGGCTCTGAAAGGAAGGGCCCCGGGCAGCCAGGCGCGTGGAGACCTGGAGGAGACGGCCTGATGCGGACACGGCAGTGAGGACGGACCGCCGCCCGGGGTGTGCTGGTGAGGGCAGGGCACAGCCTGACCTGGGGCAGGGCCAGGATGGACGGTGAGCCTTGGGGAGGGAGATGGGGGCTCGGGCCGGGCGCAGGTCGGGGGCCACAGAGGGGCGAGCTGCAGGCGCAGAGGACCCTCCCGAAAACAAGGACAGGAGCGCCGTGACGCCCCAGGGAGCTCCTGCGGGTGGGCAAGGCCGCGGTGACAGGACTGCACCCTCTCTGCGTGGGTGGGGCGGGCGGCCTGAAGCACATCGCGCCCCAGGTGAGGCCACAGCCGTGTGACCTGTCCCACTGGCGTAGCTGTCAGATGGGAGTGCGGATGGGTCCGTGAGGTGCTCGCGAACCCCGAGTGGAGATGGTGCCTGGCGCCTCCAGGGCCGTCCCTGCACCGGGGCTGCAGGAGGCCCGCTGGGCTGTCCAGCACCCGTGGGGCCCAGCACGGGGCCCACTCAGCCCGGTGACTGACCTGAGACCCAGACTCCGTGGGGCCCAGGAACTCGCCCCCCGCGTGCCGGTTCCACGCCAGCGGCCCGCCCCCCGCCCGGTGCCTGGAGGCACGCCGTCACCATCCCACATGCCTTCTAAAGAGTTTCGGCTACTGACCAGCTGGCGGCGTTCAAAATGAAGAGACAGCACACACCATGGAAAATGAAGAACACTGTATGTTTATTAATGTTTATTTCAAATTACAAGAAACAGATCACCAGTCCCTTATTGGTACAAAAATACCTGAAAGTGTATACTTAGGTTCATGAGCTGAGGAGCTATGTACAAAGAGGAGCAAAGCACATGAGTAGAGCTTGTCCCTGCACCTTCCGCACGCCTGGACCGCGGCTCGCCGACATCCCACTCTCCCGCGAGCCGGTCCCACCCCGAAAGGTGAGACGGCTGGTCAGACTGCCAGGTGTCACGTGCAGAGGAGAGAAGACAAGACTTCTAGACTGAGGCACATATTTCTTCAAAGTTTAGCAAACAAAAAAGCATCCTGGAACTCTCCCCCAGCAGGCTGGGGGCGCGACACCCGGAACACCGGCGTCTTCCTTCTCGATTGAGCCCAGGCTGTTACACGAGTATCACTTGAAAAGAAAAGAAATCACAGGCAGATAAAAACCCAACAGGCTCCCCACGACCCTGAGCTGTCCCGTTTACATTCACGTCACCGAAATACAAAAATAAAGGCCGAATGTCTTCAGCCCCTGGCTGGCGGGTGGACGCGGCCTCGTCCAGGGACCGGCTGCTGTCGGGGGGCCCTCCCGGCCGGGCAGGGCGAGGACGCCCTGTGCCAAACCTGCACTCGCCATCCATCCACGGAGGCCGGGAAGGTGCCAAGGGCCGGGCACACAGCTACATGCGAAACTGAGTCAGAGTCGGGCTCCTGCTGTCCTTTAAATAAAACGCGTGCGTATAAATATGAAATGCCGCAAACACTAGCATCTACGGGGGAGGGGGGCGGGCCTCGTCTCACGGCTGGGCCTGGCCTCCTCAACAGGAAAGGCCGGGACCTGGCCCGGCTCAGGGGTCGCCTCCAGCCAGCGAGGGGTGGCGGCGTCAGAGTCAGTCCCGCGGTGGTCCGGGCAGCGCCCGCCAGCACAATGGAGGCCCGCCTAAGGTCAAGGCTATGAAAGATAAACTGGGTACAAAAAAGAAAACACAATTGAGTAACTATAGCTAAAAACGTCTTACTAAAACTTCTTCATCTGCATAAATGGACAGGCACAGAAAACAACCAGAGTGTGGCCTGTAGAGTAACAGTTTCCCCTCCACTGACTGACCCACGGTGCGGCCCGAGGCCGGCCTGTGTTTCGGGGGCCCCGCGGTGGGTCGGGGGGCACATGCAGAGGCCAGTCAACGGCGGAACTGCTACTAGACAAGAAAATCACTTGCACCACAGAGGGCTGTGTGCTCGTCAGAGACCAAAGAAGAGAAAGACACGGCCACTCTCAGACCTGGGGACACCCCTCTGGGCCGGGCACCGTCCGAGCGGCCCCGGAGCGGGAAGCAGTGTCCTGCTGACGGGGCTGGTCCACGTCCCCAGCTGCTGTGAGGGACGAGGCGGCAGAGGCCGCCGGCTGCCTCCCGTGCCGGGGTCTCAGGCCGGGGGCATCAGGCACAGGCCGCAAAGCTGGGCCAGGACGTGCCCTTTCAATGTTTCCATCCTTGTCACCATGGAAACCCAGGAATCCAGGCCTGGAACATGGTGCCCTTTCAATATTTCCATCCTTGTCACCATGGAAACCCAGGAATCCAGGCCTGGAACATGGTGCCCTTTCAATGTTTCCATTCTTGTCACCATGGAAACCCGCCAATCCGGGCAGGGACATGCCCTATCAATGTTTCCATGCATGTCACTATGGAAACCGGAATCTGGGCGGGGACATGCCCTTTTGACGTTTCCATCCGTGTCACCATGGAAATCCGGGAATCAGGCCTGGAACATGGTGCCCTTTCAATGTTTCCATGCATGTCACCATGGAAACTCGCCAATCTGGGCAGAGACATGCCCTTTCAATGTTTCCATGCGTGTCACCATGGAAACCCAGGAATCAGGCCTGGGACATGGTGCCCTTTCAATGTTTCCATCCGTGTCACCATGGAAACCCGCCAATCCGAGCGGGGACATGCCCTTTCAAGGTTTCCATCCGTGTCACCATGGAAACTCACAAATCTGGGCGGAGACATGGTGCCCTTTCAATGTTTCCATCCGTGTCACCGTGGAAACCTGCGGGTCTCTGCAGGAAGCTAAGCGGGTGACATTTTCTTATCAGAACCTTGAGTCCCCAAGGGAGGACAGCCATGAAGAGACTCAGGCCACCGCAGGGTCAGGCGGTGATCCTTCTAGAACAGGCGGCAGGTGAGCCGGCGGACGGACCACGGGCAGACGAGAGTAGCAGAGTCTCAAGAAAGCTGCCTGTCTCCAACCAGCGGGGGACTCGGCCCTGCGGGCGTGGCATGGGGCGTCCCCGGAAACGAAGGCTCCTGGCTGCGGAAGACGGCACCTGGGAGCACGAGCGCGGCACCTTGTGTGGAGAGCGAGTGACGGACGTGGCTGCTGACTGGTCCACGAAGCTGTCCGATGCCGACCACAGGCGACGCCTGGGTTTTTTAGAAGCTTTTCCGGTAAACGGGGAAGGGCGAGGGTGCCGATTCTCCGGACGCTGAAGCCGCCTGCGGTGACCTGCAGGCGGGCCCGCCCTCCGATACCTCTGTGCTCCGTCGGCAACGTGTGCCCGTCCGCTTGAAACTGTCTCTCCGTCTTGTATGCGCTGCACAGCCGTGTCCCCGCCACCAGGGGCTGAATACAACATTGAAAACAAGGAGTGCAAAAAAAGGGATCAATACAAAAAAGTAAACATGTCAGTTTCAATTGTCAAGATTATTCCAGGGCAAGAGTTTATTTCCAATCACTGCTACGATTCTCACGTGGCCCCGCCAGGACGCTCCTTCCAGTTTTCCTCAAATTTAGCACTCGCTCTTTCAGCCCCTGATTTGGCTGGCAGGGTCCGAGCCACAAATCACCGTTACATCCAAGGACTATCCAATATTGGGGGTTGGCACCAAGGGAAACGATTCCGCTCCCCAGGTACAGAATCAAAGTGTGTTTTCAACCATGCACAGGCCTCCTACTCCTTCCAGTGTGATCTCCCTCCAGCCACCAGCTCAGGCGGGTCTGGGGCCACCAGGCCACGTGGGTGCGCCCCAGCCGCCGGGCCGCGCGGGGCGAGTCACAAGGCCACGCGGACGCAGTGGTGCTTGAGCTTGCAGGGCAGCACCCCCTTGTTGAGCTGGTAGAAGTCGACGAGCTGGATCAGGTCGGAGAACTTGGTGTTCCCGTCGTCCAGGCTGAAGAACACCTGCCCCTCCTCCTCACACTAAGAGAGACAAGACACTCCCAGGTTAGAGCCACAGGGGCCTGGCCGGCACAGGCCCGCGCCCCCTTCGCGGCCAGGAAACAGCTCCCCCTCCCAGAAGAGTCTCCCGGGACACCCTTTAAGCATCTCCCCCCGTGAGCGTGGACAGTCTGACACTGACTGCTCTGCAGTCCGGTTAGTTTATAACCTGAAAACTGCATTAAGAATAAAACCAGCAGAAACGAGGATTAGCAGGATGACAGCAATACTCACAGGTAAGATCTGGAAATTTTTGATTTTCTGGTGGTGGCTCAGCGTGAGCACGTAAGCCTTGGGGTTGCTCTGGCTGTCGCGGACCAGGAAGAGCCTGGGAAGGGAAGGTGACTGACCGTCAGTGTGAAACTCCAGACTCAGTGCGCACACCTGCCCATGCGCACACGCACACACACACACGCGCACACAGGCACACACACGTGCACACACGCTTCCCCGGGAGCCACGATGCTCGAGGCCTCGGCGTGCGCTGGCCTCTGTGCAGCAGCACCCGCACACCCAGGACGGGGACTCTCACATCACTCCCTGAGGACCCAGGGCTCCCTGCGGCTCAGGGGAAGGGGGTGCGGCTGGAACACTCGGTCCGTGGGGTGAGGAAGCTCAAAGGTGACGGCCAAAGGCAGCCTGGCCAGATCTGGGCAGAGAGTGAACAGCAGGGATGGATGGACCCAGGTCAGCAGGGACCAGGAGTCTGCGATGAAGAAAAGGCTCCTCCTCAGAGCAGAAGGCGGGGCCGGAAGCCAGCGAGGCCTCGAGGGAAGGCAGGCAGAGCTCAGGGCGAGCCGCGACCGGACAGCATCGCAGAGGGAAGGAGCAGCCTCCGTGGGGCGCCCTGGGCCACGTCCCGTCACAGGCCAGGCCCTCCACGGGCGGGGACGTCCACCCTGGACGCCCCCAAGAGACTCCGAGGCGGCCTCAGCAGCTCTCCTGTCCCAAATGCGACACCCGACCCACCAGCCCAAGGCACATTCTAGACCAGGGGTGGGCAAACTTTCTGACTCGAGGGCCACAATGGGTTCTTCAACTGGACCGGAGGGCCGGAACAAAAGCATGGATGGAGTGTTTGTGTGAACTAATATAAATTCAAAGTAAACATCATTACATAAAAGGGTACGGTCTTTTTTTTTTTTTTAGTTTTATTCATTTCAAACGGGCCGGATCCGGCCCGCGGGCCGTAGTTTGCCCACGGCTGTTCTAGAAGAACTGGCTTCTGCTCAGAACCAGGGTCCATGGGAGACAGAGGCAGACGAGGGAGACGCGCCGGCGCAGGGGAGGGTCAGGGTGAGCCCTGATGGCGGGGAGCATGCACCTCGGATGAGGCTGCACCCCGTTAGGCAGCGCGGCCGCTGCTCGGCAGGAGCCCTGCGGGTGGTGGGGGTGCATGTGTGGGGACCGCAGCCCCTCCTGGGTGTATTTCTTGCCCTCACTCTCCTCCAGGTGTGAGTGGAGGCCACTACCCGGCTGCCCTGTCCTGTGTTGCCCTGCGGAGCTGACACCAGGGGCAGCGTGTGCTGATCTAGCCCCAGGCCCCCACCAGAGGGCGGCAAAGTGGGCCGCTGGCCGGGCCCCCGGGCCAAGGCGAAGGGTCTGCACTTGCCTGGTGACACATCCCCGGGAGGCGGACCCCTCAGCTTCCTGTGCACCAGGGCAGGGGCACTGTGGCCAGCGGTGCCACCCCAGGAACACTTTGGGGCTCCCTTCGGATGCAGCTCAGGGTGGGAACAGGTCATCACAGGTTCCCTAAGCTCTGCCTTCCACCGAGCAGTCTATGCTGGGGGCCCTGGGAACCCCTCCCCCAAAAAAAGAAACAAAAACAAAAATGCAAAGCTTATCAGCTAACGGGGCTCAGAGTTAGGCCACTCTCCCCGTGTGCCCGACCCCGTGGACAGGAAGCACCGCGTATGGCTTAGGGGTCACCCTCCCTGCTTTCAGAGGGACCCTCGGTGATACAGTGACAACTGGAGTAAGTAGCTGTGGGACTACTAAATAACAGGGAAGGAAAAGAGGAGGGAAGGAAGGAGGGAAGAAAGAAACGATACAAGCCCAGGAAGCTGACCGAACAAGTGGGGCAAGCCAAGCTGTACACCAGGCTGTCCGGACTGTGGACAGGGGTCAGCAGCGACCAATGTGACCACGTGAGGAAAACTGTGTCACCGAGAGCACCCGCAGAAACCCCCTCTCCAACGCCTTAGCCTAGGCCCGAGGGAAAGGCCTGCCCTTCCCGCTCTCCTGGTGTCGGGGAGCGTGGCGAGGTGCCCACCGCCGAGGAAACCCTGGCAACAGTGCAAGGCGTCACCTAAGCCTCTGCCTGCCGCTCACACTCCGCTTCTAAGAACTCACCGGCAAAGACACCAGCAAGAGCAGGAGATGCGTGCCGGAGCCTGAGCCTGGAGCCTGGAGCCTGGAGCCGCGGGAGCGAGCAGACCTCCCTGCGACAGTTGTACACGCAGCCGGCGGCTTGGCTTTCCCCGCGGGCGAGGCGGGAGCAGGACAGGCAGCGAGCACGTTTGCGTGTATTTAAAAAGCGCACCTGACCCACTCTCTTCAAAAACCAAAAAGGAGCCGAAGCAATGACGCCGACCACATAAGAACTTGGAGGACTCGGCGGGGGGGGGCCTGGCTCTGAGCTCCTAAGGACTAAAGGGACTTGCGCATCCCCCCGAGTGACGTGTCCGTGGGAACCTCCCCACGTTTACAGGATAAAGGCCGTCAGCGTGGGGCGCACCACACCCGTGAGGTAAGGTCCTCACTAGGGCCTCCCAGCGGAGGAGGCAGGAGCTCCAGAGCAGGGAGGGCTGCACGCCTCCAGCTCCCTCGGCAACAGCAGCGTGACCGGCAGTGCTGGGGGGCAGTGCACGCTCTCCCGTCTGCGGAAAGCATGGGGCTTTTCGTGGGAGAGAGAAACGGGCGTCAGGACTTGTCACGTTCCCCGACTGGGGACTCTGGGTCCTGGCGCCTCCTGCACTGTCTCCTGTCCTCGAGGTCACCGGGCTCAGGGCTGGTCACGGGGTTTGGGCGCCACGAGGAAGGGGCCCTGCTGACCAGGACGGCACAGGCAGCGTCAGGAAGAACACATTTTGGTTGAAATAAATCAAACCTAAGAGTCTAAATTCCCGAGTTAAAAAAGAAGAACCTCACTTGTCACTAGCTAGGATCCAGGAAAGCGAGGACGTACCCGACGAGGGAACGGACTTCACTGAGAAACGAAGGGGTCGTCGGCCAGAAAAGGACGAGTTTGTTCCCTTAAGGAAACACTGACGCTGAGCAGGCCGAAGCCACGTGGTGAATGCAAGGGGGGCCCGGCCAGGGCGGGTCAGGCCCACGGCCCGAGCCCTGCCCCCACGCTGGGCGCACGGGAGGACCCAGGCCCAGCGGAGGACGGAGCCCTCCTCGCACCCCAGGCCGCTCCCCAGGAGCCCCGAGGCTGCGCACGGCCGGACCGTCCCAGCAGGCCATGGTGCCCCTGCTGCAGCCAGGCCCGGGCGGGGCGAGAGGCCAGGCCGGGCACGAGTGCCGGGGGCGCCGACGCCCCTCGAGGAGACGTAGAGACACACGGGCCAAGTGCACTGTGGACCCCGATCCAAACCAACTGAATGTCAAGGACTTTTTTTAAAGCAACTGGGGATATGGGAACATGGACGGGATGTCAGTTAATTTTTTGTTTGTTGTTGTTGTTTCCCATTTTTATTTAAAAAGTCTTTATTGTTAGGAGTGTTCAGCTGTCCCTTCCGCGACCCCTTCCTTTTACAGCGTAGACGCTGCTGGGTCGGGAGGAAGGGCCCTTCTTAGAGGCAACGACAGCTTCGCCCTGGTTCCCTCTAGACCAGTGGTTCTCAACCTTCCTAACGCCGCGACCCTTTAATACAGCTCCTCATGTTGTGGTGACCCCCAACCATAACATTATTTTTGTTGGTACTTCATCACTGTAATTTTGCTACTGTTATGAATCATAATGTAAATATCTGATGTGCAGGATGTATTTTCATTGTTACAAATTGAACATAATGAAAGCAGTGATTAATCAGAAAACAATATGTAATTATATATGTGTTTTCCGATGGTCTTAGGCGACTCCTGTGAAAGGGTCCTTCAACCCCCAAAGGGGTGGCGACCCACAGGTTGAGAACCGCTGCTCTAGAAGGTCCCAAAGGAGAGGGGGCAGAGGCAGAAAGAGGGGGAGGGGACAGTCAGAGAGCAGGTTCTGAAGCCGGGAGCAGCAGAGGGGGGCGCACAGCCCTCTTCCCTCCTAGGCCAGGCTTTAGATTCCCACAGTAAGACTTCAACGGTGAAGGGCAAAGGATTGTGCTTTGGGTTCGGCAGCTTCCCAGACCATGGTGGGCAGACCCAGCATGGCCAGCGGACCGGGAAGTGGCCGGGCGTCTCACTGCCCAGTCAGGGAGGAGCCCCAGCGCGGCCCCTGTGCGGGCGAGGAGTGGGCGGTGAGCTCTGCGGGGACCCACCGCCTCGGACCCGCTGCTGCAGGAGCCGCCCCCTCAGTCACAGGCTGCACCCCACCCCTGGCCAGTGCCCCCAGGGATGCCGAGTGGATGTGCAGGCTTCGCCCTCTGGACCTCGAGGGCCCTGGGAGGGCCACAGCGCCAACGACGCCAGGAGACATGCCCAGTGACCCCGTCGCTATGGCCACTAGCCAGCGCCAGCCACCAGAGGCGCAGGAAGCCATCCCAGCCCGGAGCTGGCCCAGGCGAGAGAGAGGACCCGGGTCGGCTGTGGGCTGGGCTGTGTGCTCTCCGCGATGCTGACGGAGGGCACACAGGTGCCCAGCGCCTTACTGATCAGAGCGACTGGCCTGTGCGCTCCCTTCAGCACAGGCGGCTAGGTGAGAGCACGCGCAGAAATGGCGACCCTCACTGGTGGACAGGCCTCGTGCAGCACACGCCCTGCGTGCCCTCGTCTGCTCAGTGCGGACCTCCCTCTGCCCCGCCCAGGAGTGAGGCCGGACGGACCACGCGCCCGCCTTGCACGGCCCTCAGCGCCTGCCCGCGCTTACCCGTCCACCAGCCCCTGCTGCTTGATGATGCGGTGCGACTCCTCCCTGGAGATGCGGCCATGGAACCAGTGCTGGCTCTTGTGAATCACTGTGGAGGGAGAGAGGGAGGTTGGGTCCCGGCCCTGTGGGGGGCTGCCCGAGCACAGCGGTGTGGCGGGCGGGCCCCTTCCTGAGGCCCGGCGGGCACTCGGGGCGGACGGCGTGTGTGTGTGTGGGGGGGGGGAGGGGGGGGAGCCACACACAGGCAGAGCCCACGTACCGGTGTTGAGGGAGGAGTGGGCGAGGGGGCTTTGGCTGCCCAGGGCGCTCATCCTGGTGCTGCGTCTCTGCAAGGGAAATGCCACGTCAGTGCTGCCAGCAGATGGGCAGGGCCACGACCCCGTCGACGCCGCTCGGGGCGTCCTGCCCGGGGAGGACGGGGCCTGGCCCCTGGAGTGACCGCCTGAGCCTGTCTGCCCACGGAGAACAACGAGCTTGCGGGTCCCAGTGGGTAAAGCGGAGCCAGGAGCGCCGTGCAGGCGGGAGCACCGTGCAGGTGGGAGCACCGTGCAGGCGTGCTCTTGATGGTGTCTCCCCTCGCCCCCCACCCCACCCCGCCGACCAAGGCAGGGGCTCCGGGCTGTTTCCCATGGGAGACATGTGGGGAGTTGGCTAAATCTCAGCAGAAACCACAGGCTCCCCCACCCCCTGCCGTGGGACCCTCCCCGCACGCTCCGAGCTCAGGGAGCGCTTTGGAGCCAGAGTTGCAGCTCCTGCTTCGGGCATTGTCTTCAGACTCAGAGACACGTGGGTGCTGGGTGCCGTTCTTCCATCTGGAGAGCAGGAAGGTGAAGGATGGTTCGAGGCCACGGAGCCGCTCGGTGGTGGAGCCACGAGGCGTGGGCTCACCCAGGCCCTGACAACGCCTCAGCAGGGACCGTTCTGTGTGTGGGCCCCGGCGCCCCTGCTCCTGTCCGGGTCCTTCCTGGGGCGCCCAGGGGACAGGAGGCGGGAAGGGGGTGCTGCAGACCAGTCATCTCGATGCCGCCCTCCCTCCCCAACTCCTTACCCCCTGGCCAACACCTAAGAGCCACTGTCCTGGAGCAGCGCGAGGCAGGGGTCCCGCTGGGGAGGGGCTGTCGTACCCTTACCCTCCAGGCGTGTCCTTCCTCCAGGGCTGCGCTCTCAGCCTCGTCGGGGTTATCGATCACTCTTCCGGTCTGCCCGGAGAAGTCCATGGCCACGAGGGAGCTCTCAGAGACGCTGCGCTGCAGGGGGGAGCGGGTCTTGAGCACAGGAACTGCCAGAGCACTCGGGGCGCTTGGCACGAAGCAGTCCCAGGCGCCAGGGGAGGGCCCGGGACACCCCTCCCAACTCTGAGGTGCGGGTGGAGATTCAGGGGCAGACAGACGGGCCCTTCACCGACAATGGGTTTGGTCTCTCCTGAGACTAAGAAATGGCCCCTCCTGTGGGCACGCGAGTGCAGGGACACAGGCCTCTGGTGTGGCGTGAGGGACAGAGGCCCTGGGAAGGGACACAGGCCACGAAGACCGCACACTGGGAGGACGAGCGTGTCTGCGCCTCTGGGAAGGCAGCGTCCTGAGAACCGGGGGGCACTCCGCTCTACCCTCACCAGCGAAGGGCCCAGCGGCATGGCCAAGGGCACCCAGGTCTCAGGGCCGGAGGCAAAGGTGAGAGGGCAGCCCTCAGGGAGTCCAGGCCGCCACTGCCCCCTGCACGCTGAGCGGAGCATCCACCTAACCGTCCGGGGGCTGCAGGCGGGACAGGGATGGCAGCAGCCCCTGGGACAGGGGGTGCGGGGGACAGGCTGGCTTCTCTGGGACCACAGGCCTGCGCTCCCCCCTCCCCCGTAACCCCGACTGCACGAGACATGGGGGCGGCTGTCTGTGAACAGCGGATGGGACGGCACGGTCCACTTACCACGGGCCCGGAGAGGGAGCTCAGGTAGGCCGCCTTTCTGTGGTGGGGGAGCCGGTAGTTCTGGTAGAGGGTCATTCCATACTGCGGGCCAGAGGCAGAGTCAGTGCCGGTGTCGGGGGGGGGGGGGGGGGCGGGGAGGGGGGCTGGGAGCCCCTCGGGGCCCCTCACGCCCAGTTCACTTTGCTTTTCCCAGAACAGGTCACACACGTGCACAACAGACACGTCACCCAAGTACGGGGGACCTTCACTGTCGCCCCCCCCTCTGCTCACGTCCACGGCCACTCTGCTCTCCCCAAATCTCTACTTTCTCCGTCCACTAGCCGCTACACCAGTGGTTCCGTGTGGGGCACACGTCCCACGGGGGGCAACTGGACTTCTAAGGGGGGCAATTCGAGAGTGAGTTATTAACCGTGAATTTTTTGCATTTCTTATGGTTCTAGGGCCTCACAGACAGTATGTAAATAAAAACTGCGACGTATTTATGCATTTCAGCTATTATATGTTTTGAAACTTTGCTGTTTTTTCCTATCACTTCGTATTGTTTTTTAAACAAGTCCTCAGTGATGTCTTCCTTGGGACTTCCAGTCCTTTCCTTCTTTTATTTTCCTCTTTCATGGACGCCATGTTCTTTGGAAGCTTGTTTAGACCAAGTGAATGGCCTTTCAGGCTTCCTCCATGTGAACAGGAGCTCGCTGTTTGAATAATTAGGATTCTGTGTCACGGGGGGAGGGAGGGGTCAGGATTTTAGAGATGCTTGGGGGGGGGGGCATGGTCAAAAGGAGGCTGGGAAGCACGGGCTCCACGTTACAGAAAACAGGTTTCCACCCCCTCCTGCCCCAGTGCGCTCTGCACACACTGCTCTGGGCTGCTCTGGGCTGCTATTCCCGCTGCGTCCACAGGGGGACCCAGCGAGCTGCCTCCTGCCTTTTGGCTGCAGAGCGCTCCTGTGGATGTGGACGGACGCCCTGACGCCCTCAGCCAGCCCTGATGGACGTTTAGCTTCAGAAGTGGCCTGGGAAGGAGCCGGACACCCCATCTCAGCACCACCGTTTCTAGGAAACGGTAAGTTATAATTTTGGACCCTCCGTCTCATCAGTAAATTGTAATTTTGGACCCTCCGTCTCAGTGGCAGACATCACACAAACCAAGGTTTGGGGCAGAGACGCGGGAGCCCGTGCGGGGCCGTCCCGTGCGTCCCGAGGGGAGTCTGGGCCGAGCCTCCGCTGTGGCTCCACCTGGAGTCTGCCCCGCTGGAAGCGGTAGGGGGCTGGGGGCTTAGTGATGAGATTCCTGGACCACGCCCTGTGTTGGCGCCAGGTCAGCGAGCCAACTTCCCTCCGGTCCCTGCCCAGCCAAGTTCCTCCTGATCAATCACGGGCGTGGGCTTTGTGAACACAAGGGCTGGGAGGGACGTGGGGTCCGAGGGGTGTTTGCTCCGACGAGTGTGGGGACGGAAGGTGAGGGGGGCTCCCCCATCCCAGGCGCCCTGTGACTGAAGAGCCTGGGACTCGCTGTGGCCCCTGCTGAGAAGCTGCGGTCTGGGGCACAGTCCCCAGGAGTCCCACCCCATCAACTTCCTTAGAACTCACTGCCTGGCGGCACCCCCTGCCCTGGCCACCTCTCGGCTCTGCCGCGGAGTCACGTGTGCCTGGGGACCCTGACTCTCGTGCAGCCTGGAGTCTAAAAGTTGGCCAGGAAAGCAATCCACCCTCCCGCGAGCTCCCTGTGCCCGACTCCTGGTCCTTCTCTCTCTCTTCCCATCGCTCTCACCCACACCCTGGCCCTCCCCCTGCCCCTACGCCCCGGGCACATGTGGTAGTGCCTAGAGGCACTCGAGGTCGGCTCACCTAGTAGGGGTGCTAGGGCACCGAGTGGGGAGACCAGGGATGCTACGTGTCCCACCTGCACGGGCCCACCCCCACCCCGTGTGCAGTGCCCAGGTCGGCCCCTGGCTCTGCCCTCCCCCTGGGAAGCCTCTGGGAGAAGCTCCCCAAACCCCGCGTGCAAGAGGGGTGACGGCCCCCGACAATCAGAACCCGGACGGAGCAGGGACAGAGGCACGTACCTTGAGCAGCCGGAAAGCGGTCATCCAGCAGATGCGGCCCTGCTCGTCCTCCGCGCACAGCACCCGCAGCTCCTTTGTCTCCTGCAGGACTTTGTTTGGCTTTTAAAGGAGGTAAAGGAAGACGTGGTGAGTGTCCCAGAGCCAATCAGAAGCCCGCCTCGGGCTCAGGCAGACTGGAGCTGCACTCACACACACAGATTGGCTGGGCTCCCCACAGGGGCCCCTCTGAACCACCACGCCCTCCCCGGGGCCTCTGCGCTCCCCCAGGATGGACATCCTCACACACAGGAAATCTCTTTACACGGATGAATCGATCCAGTGTGAAAGCATGTTACTGGTTTTAGAAAAAAGCAGCAAGCCAGGGAGAATGCACAGTTTGAATTCCAAAGCGGCCAGCGGGGCCCATGCTGGCTGCAGGGCCACGGGGACGGAGGTACCTTCAGGCAGAAGCCGAACTCCGTGGGGGTGTGGTACTGCTTCTTGCCGGAGATCACAGAGAAGACGCTGCAGTCGTCCAGGTCGGCCAGCAGCTGCAAGTGCCTGGGCTCCTGAGAGGGAGGAGGCAGCGTTTAGCCGGGACGGGACTGGCTGCTCCCGTCCTGGCCGACAGAGGGCAGGCTGCGCGCCTCCCGCAGACAGAGACATTCCACAGGGCACAGCCACGTGGAAGAGAACCGCTGAGTGAAAACCCAAGTCGCCCTGCCCCCACCAGAAGCCCCTCCCCATTCCTAGACAGAAGACGGCAGAACGGACTTGGCACTCTGCCAAGTCAGAGCCCAGAACCAAATGTCCGAAGTGCAGAGAGGGGGGACTCTGAGCCTGAGGTCAGCACAGGCTCCGAGGCAGGTCCCATGCCACCTCCCTGTGTGGGCAGCTCCCACAGCTCACCCCGCCCCCATCCTCTCCCACCAGCTCTGCCTCCAGCTCCAGCACACAGGTCCCCAGGCTCAGCGTCTCCAGGACGGTGAGTGAGCCAGGCGCTGGGAAAGTGACCTGCCCCGTCTCCATCAGAGGAAAGACACTCCTCGCAGAGGAAGGAGCCCCGCCACCCACGCCCCTTCTCTCTGGCCTCTACCCGCCCCCAGCTCCCCCTCCCGGCCGACACCCCTGGAGCAGCAGGAAACCAAGCTGATGCTCAGCACCCTCGCCAGGGGTCCCAGCCTCGCCTCCCTCTTCCTCCAGACAAGAGTAGAGACCTCAGCTCCTAAGAGGTAAATGCCCGGCCGAGGCCACTGGGCCCTGCTCCCACTGCTGGGTGGACATGGACACGAGGAGGTGCAAAGGCCCACGGGGACCTGGCTCGCTCTGGAAGCCGGCAGCTGCCTGCACCTCTCCCGCCCTCTTCCCAGTGGGGATACATGCAGAACGGCATTTATTCCCTAAAACGCCTGTAACCCGCATGAGTCCCCTCTGCCTCGGGATGGAGCGAGTCCTCAGCCTCCAGCTGGCTGGGGCCCGAGGGGAGGGGTGCAGCCTGCAGGTTCTAGATCTGTGTGATCACCCACTGTCTCAGCCGGAGCCCAGGTAGCCAGGAGCTCCCAGGGGCCCAGGGAGCATGCAGAGGGAGGCCCCGCCCACTCTGCACCCTGCGTGGCCAAGCTCACCTTAGAGGAGCCCTTGGTGGAGCAGTAGAGGCCGGACCTGCGCAGGCACAGGTACATCTTCTTCCAGGACTTGCGCCCCAGCTCCTTCACGTGCAGGAACCCTTGGATCTCGGGGCAGCTGCTGGTGTTCAGGAAGTTCTGCGAAGGGCAGGTGTGGGAGTCAGGGGCTCAGACACGGTCGCAGATGCGCGACCAGCTTCCCTGACGCTGGCATTTTCTGAGTGAGTGACCAAGTGACTCTGTCTAGGGGTCAAGGGGGATTTTCAAACGATCAGCTTCCTTTTAAGTCTCCACCGCTCTGTCTGACTGGTGCTGAGGGGCCAGAATTCGTGTTCAAGTGGACCCTGCGATGCAGACCAGGCACAGGCCCCGCGTCCCTGTGACAGCACAGAGCCGCCCGTGTCCTCACCTCCACGATGCCTGACCAAAAGCTGCCCCACCAGCGCAGGCGAGGAAGTGCCCTGCCTTCCCTCCCTGGGGAGCCCCCGTGTGCAATCTGCACCCCCAGCTTTTCCCAGGACCCCTGGGGGACAACCCAGTTGCCCAGCGGGCTCCTCCCTGGGAGAGGCCAGAGCTCTGGGGTGAGGCCGGGAAGGACTGGACTGAGAGGGGACACGTGGACAGTTTGGATGCACCTGGGCCCACCCTCCGGGAGCCACTTCAGATCAGGCGCTTAGAGCAGCCATCAGCCTCGCGGCCAGGGCTGTGTGTGGGCCACGACTAATAAACGCTGCTGGGGCCGGAGGGCCTGGGCAGGGCTCCCAGGGCTCCTCTCAGGGGCAGAGATGCCTGGTGACCAACCAGCAGAAAAAGAGGGCTAGGGGCTGGATCCTGCCGGCCCCCTCCCATGGCTCCTCTTACACTGGGTGGAGGCGCAGCATGGCCGCCTGCACGCACGGCTCACTGTCATTTACAGCTGCACATGCACTGAGGGCAGCGGTGTGTTCCCTCTTCCGTTCCCGCCTTCCCTGGAGCAGCACGAGCCTCCCGAGGCCAGTGCTCCCCCCACCGCAGGGGTGCGGAGGCCCCGGTTTCTAGGCCCAGACTTGACCAATCAGACGAGCGTGCCATGGGCTCTGTGATGAGCTGAGAGCCCCTGGCCCTCCATCCTGCCCTTGCCCCCCTCCCCCTTCCGAGCCACGGCAAGTCTGTCCTGCCCACAGGGCTCTGCTCGCTCTGGAGGAGCCGGCCTCCGGCGGATTTCCCGCGTCAGCATGAATTTCTCGTTTCTCTAAACTCCATTAGGAACTGAGCTGATCCGTGATTAAGAATGGAATCGATCCAAGTTTTTGCGAGGCCGTGGCAGCTCCAGGGAGGACTCCGGTCTGGGACCCTGAGGCCCGTCGGCCCAGTACCTGCAGGAGCTGGTTCTGACCACCGTTGGACTGCTGGCACCAGGTGACCATCTGATCCGGGAAGAAGTTCTGCAGAAGCGGGAAAACAGACGCCAAAGGTCAGTCTGGGGCGGGGAAGACCATGCTCACAGGTGTGTGGGGCGGCCACCCCCACAGCGGTCACATCCGCCCGCACTGTGCACGCCCTCCTGTCCCGTGGACGTGGGAGTGCCTGCTGCTCTGCACGTGAACGTGCGCTCACGGCTTAGTGGCACCGAGGCAGAGGGCTGCCACGGTCCCAACTCGTGACGTGAGTCACGGCACGAGCCACACCTCTCCGGACGCTCGGAGGTGAGTGGTCACGCGCCGTCTGTTTGGGGTGCACCATCTCTCACTTCTGCATGCAGAGTAATGAAGCCACCAGAGCGAGTGGGCCCAGCCTCCTGCCCGGGTCCCCCTCTGCCTCAGGACCGTGCAGAAGCGCACTGCGCAGGCCCAAGGCCTGTCCTGGTGTTTCACCAGACAAGCACCCCCCCGCCAAACCCCCCAAAACCAGGAAAGCCAAGACACACCCGGGAGACTAGTCAACACGCCTGGATGGTCACTGCTCTACTTGTCCTTCCACAGAGGACCACCAGGTGAGTAAGCTCTCACTCTGCTGAGCCTCGGGCCGATCTGCTGCAAGGCCGGAGCCTGCGCGCCTCCCCCGCCTCCCCCTGGAGAAGGCGCTGCCTCGGCCGTGCAGGCAGAGTCCCGCGGGCGGAGCGTGAGCACGAGGGAAGGTGCTTCGCTACACCGCGACCCCAAGGCCCACTGCCCGCCGCCCTGAGTCCCGGGTACGCTCCGCTCTGCTCCTATGAAATCCAAGTGCCGATGGCAGGACCCCGAGTTCCACCCCCGAGCTGAGGAGACAGGACTCACGGTGGGATTTTTGAAGAACTCGTATTTGCCATAATTCTTCCTGAATAAGAACTTGCTTTCGCCGGCCATGGTGCTGTCCACCTGGGCCACCAGCTCATGGTCTTCCAAGCAGCGCTCTGGGAGGAAAAGCGTTGCGTGTGAGAAGGGAGCGGACACGCAGGACCTTAAAGGCAGCTTTACACACAGCCACGCCATCTGGCCGGCTCTCCTGCCACGGACATGGCGAGACATGGACAGGAGGCTTCCTCTCCACGCAGCGCTGACACCAAAGGAGGAAGACAGTCACACCCTCCCGGCCAAGGCTGTGCCTCAAGTCAGAGCTGAGCACCAGCCACCACAGCTGGAGCCACGCACAGACCGCAGAGCACGGCCCTGGGTGCGTGCGGGGGGGCGGGCAGGGGGCGGAGGAGCAGAGGGGTGCCCTCCTGGTCTGAGGCCCTTGGTCCCTACACCCAGGCGAGGGCTGGGAGGGAGGAAGGGAACTCTTGGGGAGATAGAGAAGAGGCGGAGGCCACGGCGGTGGCTGCACGCGGAGCGCGGGCGCTGCCCCTACCGATCCCCAGGTGGGGGTGGAACTCCACCAGGGTCCAGCTGTTGTCGTCCACGCAGTGGCTGCGGTACACCAGCAGCTGGCACAGGTCCCGGGACTTCATGTCCACTGGAATCTCCACCACCTTGCAGGTTCCGTCCTCACCGAAGATTTTAACATCCTGCAACAGACGGGGCGCTCACAGGTGAGCAGCTGCAGGGAGTGGCTGGTCTATCTGATCTCCACTTTTAAAACCTGTATTATCCAAACTTCTGACAAAGGAAAGCTAATGCCACGTAGCGTGTCCCTGGCTCTCGGAGCCCGTTTCAGGCGATGCAGCCACTGGGGGGGGTGGGGGGGGCCACCAGGGCATTTCACCTGTTTCTGAAGAGACCGAGCGGGCCACCTAAAAAAGCTCGCTCTGTTTTTAAATGAGTTACGGAAAAGTAAACTTAAAAGGTGGGCTTATTAAGAAATAAAAACGGAACAAAATAAAACAGAAAAAGTAAGGCCCGAGGTGCTCCAACATACGTATCACTGTCCCCCCAGCAGCTGGTCTGTAGAGCGCCGCCCGTCCCCCGTCCACCACCTCCCACCGCCGCCCCTGCCCCGACGGCCAGGAGCCCAGCAGGGCACCCTCCACGCGCCCGGGACACTCGGGACAGGCCCGCGGCCAGGCCTGAGGGACACGGGGCACCCTCCACGCGCCCGGGACACTCGGGACAGGCCCGCGGCCAGGCCTGAGGGACACAGGGCTTCCCCACGTGCTGTCTCAGGAAGCAGGACGTGTGTCAGGGACGTCGGTGGCTGGGGTGAGGCCCTTCGCAGTGCGGCCAATTGCAGAATCCCTGCCCCCTGTGGCTCCACTGCCCTCGCTGTCCGGGGCCCAGCACACCCGCCCCCACCTTCTCCCGTCTCGTGTCCACTAAGGCTTAGGGAGAAGCTGAGAAGGATGAATGTGAGTTCACTGAAATGTGAAATACTAAAGAGACGCGTGCAGTGAAAGCACAGTCACAAACGCTGTGGCCCCGTTTTCCGGGTCCTGTCCAAAGCCCTTCAAACGGAGGGCCCCCCGGCAAAGGGAAGCGAGGGAGCCTGGGAGGCTGAGAAATACACCCTGTCCAGCAACACACCCTCAGCCTCGCGGGGAGCGTGAGATGCTGAAAAAAATCTCACCCCAACAGCCTGGAAAAAGCAGGCAGAGGAACAAGATGGCATTTTAATACTTGCTGCCTCTTGAAAGGGAGTCTGTCCCCGGCCTCTCCCACCCTCCTGTGGGCTGGGCCCCCTCCCCGCGGACCCACCAATCCTGGCTGTGGGGAGCGGTGGGCAGGCTGTCTCCAGGCAGACAGGGTGCTGCCCAGGCTCCTGGGCTCAGTCCTCTAGGTGGTAAATCAAGCCACCTGGGCAGCCAATCAGGTCCCTCCCTGGGCCTCTGCGCCCGCCCCCTGGCTCCCACTCCATGGAGGCTGCAGCTGCCTGCAGAGGTGGAGGTGGCCACTCCAGGGGAACCACTGAGCTCAGACCAAAATGCCAGGGAGTCCCTGCGCCTGTCCCGGGCGCGCAGAGCGTGTGCTCTGGATCCTGCCCTTGGCCAAGTCTCTTAGAAATCGGCGTCCCTGCGCCTCGTGCCCCCGTGGCGGCGTCAGGCCCTGACACGCTGGCCACAGCTCTGCTCCGTCACCTTCCTCCTGTTTCCCTGACCAAGAGCGCACGTTGGTGTGCATTTCTACTGAGAGGCCTCTGGCAGGAGAGGGCTGATCGAGACGAAGTCCCACTGTCCCCCACCCGCCCACAGCTCCCGGCCTGAAGGAGTTAAGCTCACTCAGCCCTGAGCTCCCAGAGGGGGGAGGCTGTGGGCCGGGGGCCACCCTCCAGGTGGGCGGGTCCCACCTCTCAGCCGCCCCCCATCTCAGAAACCTCGGGGGAGGGGGCGAGAGCAGGGCTGTGGAGCCTGCTTTCAACTCACATTAATTTTTAAAGAAATTCACCCATCTTTTTCCAGAATTTACATTTCACTCAACGGAAGTTATACTTTTATAAAACACATTAAATATTCAAATGCAACTGACACGATGGACTCTATAAAAATAAAATTTAAATAAATAAAATACCTCTTTGGTCTCTATATAAAAACTTTTCTTAAAACTGCCTTAACATAAAAGAAGAACAAATTTAAAAATGCAAACAAAGCCATATAATCCCTCATCATATAATAACAACAATGATAATGATAATATGCTAACTGTATTACAGACCACAGCTTCCATGCACAGCACCTTTTCAACTACAAAACCAGTGTGTTCCTAATCGTCCTTCTTTCCTAACTTCCTAAGAGAATCATCTGTGATCACAATAAACGTTATTTTCTCTCGAAATTCAAATAATGCTGAAGTGTGTTTTGCACCTAGGAGTCCATTTATCACTTTTCCTGCCCAAACTGGCCCTGGGGCTTTTTAAACCGCCCCCTCCCCGCTCCGACACACACACACACACACACTCTCTCTCCTCCAGCTCTCTCCTGACCTCCTGCTGTGCCAGGCCACCCAAGGTCTATATATAGTCTGGGTATTAAAAGCTGAGACGTGCTTTGTCACAGGGCCATGTCCACCGATTCCCAGGGCAGGCCGGGCTGGGGACCGCCTGGGGGCAGGGGAGCGGGCCTGCTGCCGTCCTGTGGCCGAGACAGACAAAGGGACGCATGGTCCAGCCACAAGACCTGGAACCCACGCTGCCCGCCCTGTCCCTGACGCAGGGCACGTCCCCATACCCAGCAGGCCTGCTGACAGAAACCTAGAAAGCCGCCGCATGTACCAGCAACTTCAAAGTGGGCATGGGGTTGGAGCTACAGAGACAGTATTTCTAATAAACACACAGACACAAAGGGAAGCGCTACCGGTACGGCCCGCCACCGGCCACCACGCCTTTGAAAGCCAGAAGTTCCAGAGGGAGCACTGTGCGCCCAGCCACAGGGGGCTCATTGTGGAAGCAGCTAGCGTGTTCCAGGCTTTGGTGCCCCAGCCTGGCCGAGGGCCGCTGGGAGCAGGCTGCGCCCCAGTGAGGCCTGCGCAGGGCGGCCCAGCAAGGCTCTCGGGCAGGCCCAGGCCTCTGCCTGCCCCAGCTCCGCGGGCTGGGAGCAGATCTCGACTTGGGCAGTTTCCCAGGGGATGACCTGTCCAGGGACAGAGACCCGGGTGACGTGAGGGTGGGGAAGACGCGGAGGGAAGACTCCCAGTGCCAGCGCGGCTCAGCGACCTCAGGCAGGTGACTGGCTACGTGGGCCTCACTTTCCCCCATGCCCTGGGGCTGCTGGGAGAGCCAGCGATGACGGGGAAGCACAAAGCTCAACAGGTGGGACCTGCGGAGGCCCCACGCTCAGCCTGGCCGAGGGACCCCGCCGCGCTGTGCCTCAGTCTCCTTATCTGTAAAATGGGAACCTGTGAGTAACACTGGCTCATGACGTCAGCCTGGCCTGGCTAATGACAGCCACTGCTTTCTGCGCCCTGGGGTGCACTCGAATGCAACTGGGAATACAGACGTGGGAACAAGGCAGGCACAGGGAGAGGCCCCGGGACCCCGGCAGCCGCTCGGCTCTGAGCTGCTCTGACTCTGAACTGGTTTGCAATTCTGAGAACATCAGTCTCTTGCCCGTAAGATGGAGCGGCAGCACGTCAGCCGGAAAAGTGGACGGGAACCCTGGCCTTTCCCCCCTGCGGTCACCGAGCGGCTAATGGCCTTTCACAATAAAACAGATATTAAATGGGGCACGTGATGTCACAGCAGAGCCTCTCTTCAGAGTCAGGTGGGGGTGGGCGAATGCTTTCTGGCTCCCGCCTCCTGCTGGGCGTGGCGCTGCTGCCTGGATGGAACCCTGAGCCCCAGGTCCACCCTGCCCGGGGCTCTGGTGCTGCTTTTCAGACACTCCTCATACAGACTGAGAAGCAGAAGCTCACGTGTGTGCCAATGGAAAGGCAGGAAATGGATAACAATCAGGGCCTAAGGTCCATGATCTCCACAGGCCCACACTACATTTTGGGGAGCCTGGTTTTTTGTCTCGGGGTCCCCAACGGCTGGACTCCCGCTTCAGGCCCGACACACCGAGCCCGCTGACCTCGGACCTCCGGGCTCTGGCCCAGGTCACCTGGTGAACACAGAAACGGGGCTCTTAGCTCCTCGCACCAAGCACCACCCGTCCCCGTGCGGGATGGACAGCTCTGGACGGAGAGCCACCCTGTGCGCGGAGGGAGCCCAGGAGAGGCCCTGGGTTCTACTGCGCAGACACCAAAGAGCGGGAGCTCCAGGCCAGCTCTCAGCTCTTCACTTTCATCACCTCCAAGTGAGGGTGTGAGCTGGGCCCCTCAGTCACTCGGAGCCTCTTGTAAAAACGGGGGGCTAGATGCTTACGGGAGAGCCAACCTGGGTCCCAGCAGCCGGGAGGGGACCCGGGAGGGGGGTCAGCGGGGGAAGCAGGCTGACTGCCAGGGGGTGGGGGCAGCTGAGGGAACTGGAGGAGCGTCAGCTGCGCCTGGCAGGTGGGGGAGGGGCGGCTGGGATTGCCAGGCCACGCCAGGGCCCAGCGCTCCCTGCAGGCAGCTGTCGCTGCCCCCCCAGATGAGGTAAGGAAATCTGGGAGGCAGAATGGCTCGTCCGGTCCAGGAAACGAACCCGGGGGGGCCAGGCTCTGAACCCAGGGCGCTGGGCTGCTGGCCCCTTCCTGCCAGCAAGATGTTCAGCACGGGACTCCCCCTGCCAAGAGGGACCCCAGCTTCCCAGGACACACCAGGCGGTTCCCTCTGGGGTGCCCTGGAGGCCCCAAACGGGCAGGCCTAGCACGTGCGGAGGAAAGTAAGCTTACGTCAGACCAGAGCAGGACCAGGGTGAGGCTAGTCAGTTCGGTGAGAAAATGTACTTCTGCTGATGCTTCCAGTCCTGCTCTCCATCAGCCCTGCTGCTGCGAGCCGCGAGGCCTGTCACGGGAGCTCACCGCGTGCGCACGTGGCTCTGATCACCATCACCGTCCGGCCCGCCTCCCCGCCTCCGACTGACTCTAAAAGAACCATCTGCCTCACAGCCTCCTCATCGCAAGGTCTCAGTGAGAACAGAAAATACGGAGCCTTTGCAAGTCCCTCCTGAAGAAGCTAAAGCTCTAAAAATAACCTGCACAACCGTTCCTGGAAGTCAGCCACGACTTCAGTCTCTGGGCGCTGCCCCGGAGGAATGGCGCTCACCACCAGGGCGGCGACAGGGCCCAGCACGGAGGCCGCCGGCCTCTGCCTGCTCCGTCCCCACCAGGTGGGCTTGCTTGCAAGAACCAATTTTGATCTGTTCATCTGTATCTTTTCCAGCTTTTCCTAGAATGGATGTGTACGGCCCTGCTACTGTGACAAAAGCAGTTTTTATAAAGGTGTTCTACAGAAAACCAGAATAAGGGCATCTTGAAAACCTCCCTGGGGGCCTGAGGGGAGGAGCAGACCCCCCCACCCACCACTGCCCTGCAGCTGAGTGCAGGGTGCGGCCGCCCTCCAGGCCTCAGCTTGCTCACAGGGGCACAAGTGCCACCCCAGCGAGTCTGCAAGGAGCTCTCGAGGGCTCCTAGCGGGGTCCCTGCCAAGCACAGGCAATCCCCTCTAAACTCGGGGTCCCCACCACACGATCGGGGTCCCAGCCCACAGACCTGCCCGGTGGCACATGCGGCAGGGGTGGCAGCAAGGGCGCCGCATTGGCATGGGCCTGTCTGCCAGGCGAGGCTGTGCTCACATCCCCTACGAGTGATAAAGTGCGAAGTGGACGTGCGTTTGGCTCACTGGGCCCGGCTGGTTGGCTCAGCTCGCAGCTGCTGCCCGTCGGGCAGGTCTCTGGGTGGGGCTGTCACAGCTGCTGCTGAGAACTTGTCAGTGACCAGCCCCTGAAGGAGGGGGACAGGCCTGCAGAGTCCCCAGGGCTGGAGCTGGGGCTCTGGGTGCCGCCGCCTGGGCTCCCCAAGCCAGGGCTTCTCCCAGGAGGAGAGGAGAGGCAGGGACCCGCAGGGCCACCCAGAAATGGCCAAGGAAAAGAAATCATCTTTGTTGAACTAACTTCCTCAGAGAGTTAGTAACTAAACGTTCCATTTGCATATTGTAATCTGAAAAGCCAACAAAAATGGTTTATATTCTTTCTCTAGAAAATCGTCCAGGGAAGCCACATGACTGGCTGTGGTGGCCAAAAAATAGAGGAGGATTTGAGTGTGACCCTCCCTCCGAATTCCAGAGGAGAGGAGTGGGGTGGAGACAGGAGTCCATGCTGCAGCTGCAGCAGCTGCTCCCAGCAGGCCACGTGTGCAGGCCAGCAGCCTGGAGGTGTGGAGGGAGGCCTGGGGCCCGGGGAGGGCTGGGTGGAGAGAAGAGGGGAACGATGGGGAGCGAGGGGCCCCTGGGAGGGGATACAGCACACACTGTCTGAGTCATCCCCTGGCCCTCGGACTCCAGGCCCCTCCAGGGGTGGGGCCTTGGGGGGGTGAGGAAGTGGCAGCTGTCCACCCATCACTCACAGAAAACAGGCAGCAAGGGGAAGGCAGGAAAGGGAGCCAGTGGGGGCGGGGGGGGCGAGGAAAGAGGATTTTATGTTCTAAAACGACAGGGACATGCTGGTGAGTCTCGGGCTGACCCTGGCTCTGGGACGGCCATCATGGGACCAGCTGCTCCTGTCCTGCGGGAGCCCGAGCCCTGCTCTCCGGGATCCTGGCAGACACAACCCTGCGACTCTGCAGAGTGTCCAAATGTGGGAAGAGCAGGCGCACAGCTCCCCCGCTCAAGGCCCCCGGGGCCCCCAACACGCGGGTTCGGCTTCAGTGAACCCCAGGTTCTAATGGATTCTGACCTCGAAGGCAGCAGAAAAGGCGGGGTGGGCACACTTTGCAGGGGCTAAGAAGAGAGAGCTGGGCGCGTTGGCATGAGGGCTGGGGCGGGGGGGGGCACTGAGGGAGGAGGAGTCTGGCTCCAGGACGGGCCATGGAGGCCCTGACGGAGGGGCGGGGGGGGGGGGGGGGGGGAAGGAAGGACATTCTCTCCCCACCGGGACTCCCTGGGAAAAAAACCGGACTTTGGAACCCAAGGGCCTTTTTTTCCCCCAAAAAGGGCTGATGTCCAGGGCCCTTTCTTTAATCTTTCAGCCCCCAGAAAACCCATTTT